GAATAGAATAGAATAGAATAGAATAGAATAGAATAGAATAGAATAGAATTCAATTCAATTCAATTCAATTCAATTCAATTCTTTATTGGCCAAGTGTGATTGGACACACAAGGAATTTATGGTATGTGATACCATTTCAGAAAGACAGCATTAGTTGGGATTTGCACATACTATAAATGTAAAGGTTCCCCTCGCACATACGTGCTAGTCGTTTCCAGCTATAGGGGGCACTGCTCATCTCCGTTACAGAGCCAAAGAGCCATCCGAAGATATCTCCGTGGTCATGTGGCCAGCATGATTAAACGCCGAAGGCGCATGGAATGCTGTTACCTTCCCACTAATGAGAGCAGACGAGAATATTGCCAGCCTTGTTTAGGAGAAGCAATATGAATGTTTGCCAAGATTCAGCATCCAGCGCCTCCAAAAAGTTTTTTTTCTATTCTTTTCTAGGATGACTTTCTCCTTATACATTATGATAAAGGACCTTGCCGAAACAAGTTAGGTCATTCTAGGGCATCGGTTATTTGGCACAGAACACAGGTAGGTGTTTCTCTATCTTCACTATGCAGAGTTTAAATGAATTCAAAGAATTATGGCTCAGAAAATTATGAAACAATTCCATAGTTATGGAGTAATTGCTCATACAAGAAATGAATCAAATAAAATAGGAAATAGGATTTTTTTTTTTAAAAAAAAGTTGTTAGCTAGCTACTTTTCTACAGTCTGTTTTGTTGTTGATAAACTTTGATGCAAGGTGCAAAGAATCACAAGAGCCATTTGTGTAGTGGTGAAGGCACCAGGCTAGAAACTGGGAGACTGTGGATTCCAGCCCTACCTTAGGCACACAGCCAGATGGATAACCTTGGGCCAGTCACTCCCTCTCAGCCCTAGGAGGGAGGCAATGGAAAACCACTTCTAAAAAAGCCTTTCAGGAAAACTTCTAGAGTTTAATCCAGGCAGTCAACTAGGAAACAACACTGACTCGAAAGCCCAAAGAATCACAGTGGACAATCTTAACATAAAGTAGAGAGGATGGGAAGAGACCATCTCCTCCAGGACAGAAAGAGTTGAGGAATGTTTTCCTTGGGCTTCTTCTTCCCCTGGAAGGTCTTTGTCCTTTCTCCTTATGAGGACTTTCTAGAGGAGCACTTCTAACTCCCTGGGATTCAAAGTTGGCTTCTTTCAAGGATAATCCATTTGGGAACTTTCTAAGAGATGGCCGTGGTGATTCCGTTCCACCTGCCTGAATTCTGCTGCTCCTCTGCCAAGGAGAGTTAGCTGGGAGCTTCCAGGGAATATTTCAACATTCCTTACCATCTTCCTTCACAGTTAGGATCAGAGAGGAGAAGTGGTTAGGATTGTGCTCCGGTTCCTTTTTTTGGAAAGGAATTAAAATACTCCTGGAAGCATTGCAACAACCTAAGGGAGAGGGAGGGCCGTTAGAGTTATTATGGATAATGTAACATAGCCAGCTGTGAAGGAGGAAACCACAATATTTTTCATGAAGTGAAACAGTCATAAATTCACCCCTCTGTAAAATGAATTTTTAAAAAATTTAAATAATGTGGATTTTTGCAACCACATAGGACTTCCACGTATGTAGTTACATAACGCGTTTTAAATCTCCCAGAGTGAATGTTGTTCAACCCTGCCACCTGGTGACAAAAAAAGGACTTTCACTCCCTGATGAAAAATAATAAACTCTAAATATTATTAAGTAGTTAACATAGATTTAATTTTTCCTTAAGAAAGAAAAAAAAATCTGAGAATAGACTTTAAAATAAATATGTCTATAGTCTTTCAACAGCTATGGGGAAATCTGTTTGAGCACTACCTCTGCTGTGCTAACCTTTAGGTTGTCTCTTGTAAAATCAGGATAATTTTACTTTCCATTCTTTTGCTTAAGAAGCTCTTGGTGAGGTCAGCAGAAGGTTTGAGTCCTGCATTAAGTATGAGATTCATATTTTATAAAATCCTTCCAAATTCAAAATCTCCTGTTGATGCTTTTGTTCAACCTCATAGAATCAACTTAAGATAAAATACTCCAGAGCTAAGGGATGATCTTCACACCAATCCCTGCCACTCCTTTCTATTTCTACTGCCTTTACTCTGCCTAATGGCAAATTTGCCCTGCAGTGCTTTAGTCCTTACCACAGAATGTAAATTTCTGTTGTTGCCCACATTTGTTAGGTGTCAAGGTTTCTCTGCAAAAAGTCAAGACTGAATAAGAAAGACAATTTTCTGCAATGTGATACTTTACAATATGCCAGAATACAACTCCCAGACTTCTCATCTAGCATGGCCAGTGGAACACTTTAAGCTAAGAATTTGGGAACTGAAATTCAACAAATTTGAGAATTGACACAAGCTACCAAGGCTGGGTCCAGTGATGATGGATTGATGAGACCCAGCTTTAAGGCCTTACTTAGTCATAGAGTTAGCTCCTAGAACAGCTGTTCTAAGATCATAGAGTCATAGGGCTGGAAGGGACCTTGGAGGTCTTCTAGTCCAACCCCTTGCCCAAGGCAGGAGTCGTTACGCCATCCCGATCAAAATGAACAGTCATCCCATCTATAGAGCTTTAAGTTACTAGAAGAAAGGTGGGATATCCATGTTAAAATAAATAGAGGTAAGCATTTGCGTTGTATTTGCAAGGGGTCTCTTCCACCAGCCTGAGATAGAAGAATGTTTTTATGTATCAGTTTCAGTAGGAGCTATTACCTCTGTTTCACACTTGCAATCGAGGCCAAGAAACCTTTTAAACATTTTCAGTATATTGAAAGATGGGATAACTAGGCTTCATTTTAATGCCAAGCCCCTAATTCCGTAGGATGCAGAATTGGTTAAACCAGGCTAGTTCCGAACAGAGTTCCATTCTCTACCCCTTCTGGGATCTCAGCCCTTGCACTTTGTGCCTTGTTAGATCCGATGGTGACCCCAAACATGTCTCCATTCTGAGGGACCCTACCCATCCCTAGCCTTAGTGCTAGAATCGCTATAGACTTCTCCTTCAGTAGAAGGAGCATCTATTGGCTGCAGAATTAGTAAGTGCTGTTTGATGCTGTTCTTTTGCATTGATGGAGAAGCCATTGAGGGTCATCTGGAAGGGCAGAACTCTCCAAAGCTCTTAGGCCTAAAGGGCCAGTTGGATTGTCAGTGTGGATTCCCAAATGCCTTTTCATTCGTCCACAAGAGCTCCAGGGATTTGGGAGAGCCCTGGGAATGCGCATAACGAGTAAAAACAACTTCTGTTTGAAAAGGGAATAATGAAAGGGAAGGGGAGAGAGATTCGGTAGGTTACATTCTTCAATGTTTTTTCTTGTGTAGAGGAATCTCAAAACATTTTCCAGTCTTCCTTCTTGCACTTGGTCTTCTACTGACGGTGTGTCTGAATCTTACATAGAATTGTTTCCCCTTGCCCAAAAGCTTCCTTTCCTACATACGGTTAGCCTTCCTCCGTCTCTGCCTTCAGTGACAGAGGAAGCCACCAGTTGGAAGCCAGCTTTTCCATTTAACTCTTGTTCTTATGTGTTCCTCAACCAGAAGATGAAAACACTGCGGGCCGAACAGTTAATAGGGCCCTAGCAATTCTCATCCTGTTAAGCAGAACGGAAGAACATTTTTCACCCGTGTTTCTTTTCTTTCTTTTTTTCTTTTCCTAATGCAGGTCGTGGGGATTTTTGCAGGATTTGGCCTGCTGTTACTAGTGGCATCGCCCTTTCTTCTGCTCGCTACTCCGTTCGTCCTCTGCTGCAAATGCAAGTGTAGTAAAGGAGACGATGACCCTCTGCCTACATAGAGAGAATGAAGAAGGGACCTACTCATCATCGCTGTCCGTTTCCTATTCCCCCTCTCCCCTTTTGCACTTAATCTTGTTAGCATCTTGCCTTATTCCACTTGGAGTGAGAAGTGAGGCACCAGAATTCCTGGAACTACTCATACCAGAGTTCCCTGTCCACCAGTCAGATTTTGGGTAACAGTTTAAGGACTGGCCAAAGACAAGCTGAACATTGGAAGTGTGTGCAACAATGATCTGAGTCATTCCTTCTTCTCTGGGGGACAACATTCTCTGGAACTGAGTGACACCACCCAGATGAAAATCTTCATATATCTACTCGCATTAAACTGAGAGAGGCGGTTTTTTGCAAACCCATTACCAATTATAATATGTTCATTTTAGATGTGACTTCCAATATCCGTTTATTAAAATCAATTTCTTAATATTTGCAATTGGAAAATGTCTAAGCATTCTTGTCTCCTCACCACTGCCCATCTTCCTCACACAAAGTAATGGCATCCAGAGAGGTGCCCCAGGCCTTAGATTTTCAAGACAAGAAGGTGCCATTTCTGCCTGCTAATATTTGTAAATCTATATAAGCAAAATAGGTGGATGTGTCTGCATTTTGATTATTTTTTTTTAATTTAAATTTGTTTTGAGGGTTGGGAGGGAGGATTTCAATGTTTTATGGTTGAGTTATATCACCCAGAACTGTTATATAATCAAGACTCTTTTAAACATCAAGGTGATACTAAATCCAGATCTCATTAACAGATCTCAGTTTGGAGGACTTCAGATTTCACCGGCAAAATATGTTAGAACAGGAATACACCATGCTGGGAGTTGGCACCCTGGCAGTTGAAAAATAGCAGGGGAGAGAAGAAAGAAAAGGGGCCGGGATGATTGGGGACAGGCTGGCCAATAGGATATGCCACTTTGGGAGATGCCAAGTTGAGGAAAGCAGGGATATGTACCATGCCCTGATTGCCAGCCTCGTCCAACTGTGCCTTTTGTTTCCTACCTAGATTTGTTTCTACCTGTTGTTTATTACCTATTTGCTACATGTAAATAGAGCTGCCTCTAATCTGGTATCCTTTTGCATATCTAGGAAAAAAATATTTCGTAGAAGCCGAGCATGTTCTAAATGTTCTAAATTTCAGGAAGGCTCATGATTTCTCTTTTGGCAGCAGGTGCTAACCTGAAGACATAACAATCACTGTCATTTCCCACATGGGCTCTGCTTTACAAACCACAAGAAAAGCAGAACTGGTTTTCCTCTTTAAGGAATCAGGTCATTCCATGATAGGAAACACCCCTTGTCTATTTTGTTCACCCTGAGGTCCATCTTCCTTAGAGCCTGAGAGTTCAAGGCATGAGTTGGGAGAGGTATATGGGGGAAGTGTAGATGTCCCCCCCATCTTTTCCAATGTCCAGCAGGTACTGATGATCAACCAGAGAGAGGGGACACCTTATGTCCTTTCAGCTCAGTTCATTAAGCTGTGCCTGGATGTAGAAGCATAGTACAGATGTTACAGTCCCATCTAAATTCAGAAAGGTTCTGTTTTCTCCCTTCCATTTTGCTTCAATTATTTAAAGTCTGCAGTGATAATACATACTCTAAAAGCTGTTCAAAAAGTGTATTTAATTCATTTATTAAAAAAAAAAAACTACTTCTATTTTGTGACGTAAGGTATTGTGACAGCAAACATTGTTTTTAAATATCTCCTTTTCCATCTTATATTTTTGACTAATCTTTTCATATTCTGAAGGACCATAAAATGGGCATATGGCTGCAGTTGATAACTCACCATTGGTTATTTTGTTTGGAGTGAAAATTGTAAAATGTAGATATTAAATTAGGAGAAAGTATTAGCTCCAAATGTTCTGTAACAAAATGAAACCCGAAAATGAGAAAATCTTCCATGCATATGTAAGCCAATTGAAAGAGAAACTATTTTGTGGCATAATAAGGACATAACCATTGGGCTGAGGGTTTGTACTTGTTATCTAATGCAAATCTGATCACAGCTGTTCTCCCATAACAGAAAATTAATCCGTTGGCTGCATTGCTTTAATTTTTTTTTCTTTCTCTCTCTTTTAACAAAAATGAAATCACTTCTCCTAGTTTTCCCATTTATCAACTTTTAGAAGATGAGCAGAGTAAGGAGCAACATTTATCTCTGACATCAGTGGAAAAACCTAGCCATAATTGGCATCCAAGATACAGCAATCCTTTCAAACTAATAGTGGGCATCTGAGAGATGGAATATTCTTATTGTAATCCTGACTAGAACTTCTGCACCTCATCCACGTTCTTGACATTCAGTATAAATTTTAAAAGAATTATTTTAGGCAACCTAAGCAAACCAAGGAGTGGTAGGCATCCATTTCTTCCTGCAGTGAGGCCAAACGATGTAGCACAAGCTCATAAAGGCAATTGCAACTAACTTTTCAGCCCTGATGTAAAGAAAACAAAAGGTATTTGCAGTAGCTCATCTTTCAATCATTTTGCAGGAATGCCAGGGTCCTCCAAATGTGAAGCATGAGCAAATTTGAGAGCCATTGTAAATTTGTGCATATGCAAAACACCCTGCAAACTGGTTTTACAAAGGGTTTTGTCCTAGGAAAACACAGTGTAATGGAAACAGTGGCATTAAGGGATTTTAGCCATCATGCTTGCTAATGCACTTCTGCAAATGACGAAACTCATCTTTTGTGTCTAAAGTCCCCTGCTGGTTCCTGCTTTGTTAGACATGTAATCCTGTCTTATTGGAGTCCAAAAACATTAGGTCCAGGTATGTGCCATACAACTGAATCATCCCTGCTCATTGAACCATTATTTTTTTTTAAAAAAAAACTTGTATAGAGAAGCATGGAAGAGTCCTGCATATTGATAAATGATGTTGACTACAGTAAAAGAAATACATTTTGTTCCTGTATTTGAAATGTAACTGCATTTTGTGCCACTAACACTGTGATGTATAAAAGAGCTGTTGAATGCCTTTGAATGTTGTTTTGTACTTTGGAATCATATCAAAGAGTTTTATTTGTAATTTCAATAGATATTTTAAATGAATCTCTCTTCTGTCTGTTTGGGTTTTTCCCCCTGCCTTTGTCTTAGTCTGCTGTGGAGCCGTTCCTATGTGCAACCAGAGTTACCATTATTTTCCCTGGTCAAGTGGTGACGGCCAGTGATGTCACTTCATACTTTTAAGGGATAGTGATGTCATTGGTAAGGGACAGTGTTCCCTGTTTATAGAAGCCTCAAAAGCTATAGTGATTCCACTCTCACTTTCTGCTACCTTCTCTAGCTTCTCAGCACCTTATCTTGCCCAAAATGATATGATTCAACAGGCATAAGGCCACCAATAGCTTTCTAAGATGGGGAGAAGTAATCATTCTGTTGCCAGAACAAGCTCACAAACCAGAAAGCTATCAATTTATTCCATTGTAGCTTGACCTTCTATCACAAGCTACACTTTGTCTGCTTGCTTCTGGGAAAAATATCAAGCATGGTTTAGCAATAAAGTTTGGGTCCTTGCTGTTGCTTCTAATCTACCCAACCATAGGGAGCAACAGTGAAGGTTTCCCTGGCCAGCCTAGTATATTGCTTCTCTCCAACTGAAATGAGCACTTCGGGCACAGTCCTCAGCCTTCCAGTTGGTTTTCTGAGGAAATAAGCTGCGTGACATCAGCTTGCATGCATGAAATTCTGTGTATTTGCTTGCTTGGATATGCAGGGAAGAAATTCATAGTGGAAATAAAATAAACACCAGTCCTGTCTTTTGTTACCTCAGATAAAGGTACAAGGGTCTTAATTAATGCGCACATTTCTGTAGCATTTCCTCTCACAATTCAGAGCAATAACTTTTTAACGGAGGACAGAAGAACTGTTTCATAGGCACCAAGCATATTTGGCGATCAGCAGCCACCGTATTTCTACTGTCAGATGTAAAATGACAATTATTAAAAGGAGTGAAAGAGGATAATTAACTTATTTGCCGCCGCTGCTCTCTAATAAGAGGAAGGAATGATCTACATTCATTGGCCAGTATGATCTACAGTGTTTGGTGGCATTTCAGTTTTGAATGATTACATTCGTAAAAACAAAACAACAACTCAATTCTTTGCTTAACGCCCAGGTTGCCAGTCCCAATTATGAAAGGAGGACTTGCTCTGTTAGGTGAGATTTTTGTCAGGGGCGATATTCAGGGACCTGTCCTGTAGATCTTGGCAGCCAGGCAGGTACATAGGTCATATCTTGAGGACTATCTATACATCCAACCAAGGGGAGTCCACTGTCTTGTGGGTCACTGGTTCCATTGTTGAATTGTTCTTAGCTTTTGCTAGCATTCCATGGGGATCTCTCTTCATGTAACTTAAACCCTTTATTCTGAGTTCTACAATCTGGAATGAGAGAGAGGAGATCTTGATCTCTTCACATTTGAGTGTAGAAATCATATTCCTTTCCTGTTTTTTTTCCCCCCCTTAAGACTCCTTCAACTTCCCTTAAGTTCTAGTCCCCTGATCATATCCAGTTGCTGAATCGGTTTTCAGTTTCTCCAAATTAAAGTGTAAGGCTAGAAACGGACGGAGTACTCAAAACAAGATCTGACCAAAGCAGGGGCAGAAGTCACATTTCTGTTGATGCAGCCAAACATTGCATCGGCCTGTTCTGCATTTACTTCTGGCTCAGGCATTTGTCAGTTTTCAGTCAGCTATTGTTCCAAACTCTTTTTAAAAAGGAAAAAATAAAAAGGATTACTACACTGGGTATCTTCCCTGCAATATCAGTGCAGGTTTTTTTGGTTTTTTGCAGTTTCTTTATGAAATTTATAACTTGCTTACAGTACTTATATAAGGAAAGTTTGCAATCATTAACAATCATTCCCAAATTAGAAAATCTTAGGCATAAAAACACAATTAAAATTAAGGCAGAAATAAATCAATACTGTTAAAATCAAATCAGTTCCGCTAACAATTCTCAGTTATTATTTCAATCTGACAGGAGATGGGTCATATAAATATTCTGAATGGGAACTGATATGCTAACATTTCCAACCAAAGGCCTTTTTGTATGTATTTAATTCTTCAATAAATTTAGTTATTTATAATTTATTTTGTAATCTGAATAGCTACGATCTCAACTGAATTTTTCTTTAATTATACTAAATATTCTATTTTTTTTAACAAGCAGCTTAAAAAAAAGCATCCCTCATACTTCCATTTATTTTATTAAAAACCAGCAGGGTGCAGCCTTTGCACACAATATAAAAGGATATTAAATAGCTTTCCTACTGAAATATTTAACAAGCAACATGCAAATATATGCATAGTACCAGTGCATAAAACAATGCATTTGTAAGAGTGATCAGTGATGGTGATTGGGTGCGTTATGGATATATATTTTCTTTACTAGATAATAGCGTTTTATATGCTAAATAATGGTAATGTAAAACTTTTCCCCAAGACTACCTGTGCTAATCTTTTACAGAAAGCAACAAAGCAAAATATAGCAAAATGCTTTCTGTTGTTGCTGTAGCTTAAGAAAAGAAATCAAAACATAAATATAAGATTTTAAAAAAATTGAAACCAAATATTTTGTGGGGAAATGCCAGACCATTATCTCCTCTGTTCCTATTCATTGTTTTTCAAGCAGGCACAAGTTACAGTTTTAAAAAAAATCCAGCCAGCCACTAATTAGAATGTAATATAAAAACTATTTTAAAAGCTATATATAAAATAAACTTGAACGGATGAATATTTTCTTTTTAAAAAATAAAATAAAATAAATTTTATTGATTTTACAATTAAAAACAGATCTACAACACATACACAAAAAACAAGGCCTTGACAAAGGCCAAGAAGAGAAAGAAAGAGAGAGGTGTAAAAAGAAAGAAAAAGGGAAGAAAAAAGAAAAAGAAATGAAAAGGAAACATTTAAAAAGAACAATATCCTTTTTGACAGTCTGTAAGATCTATTCTTCTTAAGTTGTATCATATATGCACACCTTATCGGTATCTATACTTAAATTACCCTCAACTAGATTTCTCTTATAAACGGTCTATCTTTGAATTAACCAGTCATACCAGGAATTCCAAATATTGTAATATATTGAGGACTCTTTGTTTTTTAAGGCTAGAGTTAACTTGTCCATTTCTGCGCACTCTAATATTTTCTGAATAACCATCTGTTCTGTGGGAGTGTAAGGTAATTTCCAGCACTGAGCGAACGCTAGCCTGGCCGCAGTTAGAATGTGAATTGTTATATACTTCGTCTTTTTTGACAATTGTTTGTCAAAAATCCCTAATGGTTTGTATTCAATTTGTTCTTTGGTTATCTCCTCCAACCATTTTCTAATTTTTTGCCAGTATTTCTGGGATTCCTTGCATGACCACCACATGTGGAAAAAGGTTCCATCCATGCTTCTGCATTTCCAGCATTTTGGACTCGTGTTGGGGTGCATTTTCACCAGCCTCGAAGGGGGTAGGTGCCATCTGTAAAACGGATGAATGTTTTCATTACTGCCTTTGGCAATCAAAATTAAAGCAAAGATCCACATATGCACACCCCCCAACACAATTAACAGATTCTTATTAGTGCATAATAAAAGAATAAACAAGAACCACTGATATCAATCTCAATTAAATACCATGCCATGCCACGCCACAGCACATCACAGAACAGCTGATAGCTGCCTGCAGTCGCAATAAGTCAAAACCCACTTTGAAAGAGACTTGCAAAATTCAAGGAGGGTTTGGAGTCGTAGCTCCAGAGAGCAAATTCCCAGAGGGTGGGGTGCCCGGCTTAGCTTTTTTTTAAGGATAGGTCCCTGTTAATGCAGCCTTTGTCTCATCCTCACATCTTAACTGAAGCTCTTAGCTTCATCTTTTCCCCCCAATCAGATCTGATGTTTAAATGATCTCTCCATTACCCATCCACCCACCCCCGTTTTCTCCTGGCACAAAACTTGATCGATAGACTTCTTATGGTGCTTTGGGAGTGACCAGGGTAATAACATGGAATGGCCGGGGATCTATGGAGCTCCTATTGGTGGGCTTGGGTTGCTATAGTACATCTTTCTCCTCTGATTTCTCATGACTTTCTTCCATGGCTCTTTGATTTGGCACTGGGCAGCTGATTCAGAGAACCAGTTAGGCGTTCCTTAAGTTGCTTAACTATACAGAGGGAAAAAATCATCTGGCACAGGGCCAGATTATTTTCAGGACTGGTTATCCTTGAAGGAGTTTACCTTTTCACTAGCTGGAACCCTCAAGATCCCTTACATGTTGCCATCTAGTGGGATCTAGGCAATAGCAGCCTCTTTCCTTTAGGGTAGGGTTGTCAATTTGAAGCCCATGGGCTGGATGTGTCATGCTCTGGCTATGCCCGCCCCCGGTTTAGCGAAG